GTGATAAGAATTGTACGAGCCCCCAATAAAATTTTTTTTAAATAAAATGTTACATGCATGGGAAAAATAAAAAACCTGGAGGAAGGCTCAATTCTGTTCAGCTGTAACAGAATGGCATCTTCCCAAAGGATAGGGAGACCAGATGATTCCAAGGGCCTTCCTTAAGCTGATTGCTCTTGGATGTCCAGGCTGACCGTGTCCTCTTTTCTTTCCTCAGGTGTAACTCCTTCATTGAAAATACCTCTGCTCTCAAGAAGCCTCAGGCCAAACTCAAGAAAATGCACAACTTAGGGCACAAAAACAGCAGCACTTCCAAAGAGCCTCAGCCTCAGAGGGTGGAAGAGGTCTACAGGGCCTTGAAGCACGGACTCGAGTAAGAACCTTCAGCCGCTAACGTGTCTGAAACCTCTCTCACGCTCAAGTAAAGCGTTCTAACGTCCCCTGGGGAGGGGGGAGGATGTCAGAGAAAAGCTTGTCACACAGAGGAGGTCTTCTTCCCACGTCTCTGCTCAAAAATCCGAACTCATTGTCCTAAGTCCATCCTGCCTCATAGCGACCCAATAGGACCGGGGAGAATGGGCGCTGTGAGTTTGAGACTGGAACTCTTCATGGGAGTAGAAAGCCCCCATCTTGCTCCCTGAGAGAGGTTGGTGGTTTCGAACTTCAGACTTTGAGATGGAAGCCCAACTCATAACCCCTACACCAACAGGGCTCCCTACGTGTGTTTGTCATAAGTAAGGGTTTTATTCTTACCCCAAGACCCAGGGAAGCCTTAAACGGGTTGCAGCCATTTGAAATAAGTTGAGGGCCACGTCATATCCATAACATTGGAGGAGACCCATACAAGCGACTGTGCTTATATTGAACTCTGCTCAGTATTTCTTTTCGATTAAACGGTGGTGGGCAGGCCTACGGGGAAGGAGCATCCCAAAGTTGGTGGACATTTTCCGTCATCCCTCAATTCCACTTTTCCATGGAATTCTTAAAGCCCTCGGCTATTTAGAGATGCTCAGGAAGGGTTTGGAAGCCTTCCTGCATGTATTTCTGGGGATGGTTAACTAATATCAACCGCCTAGAGTAAGGACACGTCAGTAGTCAGTGCTGCCCTCGCCATCCTTGTCATCATCATCGTCATCCTCATTAGGGTGTTGGTTCAGTCAGTCCCACTCATCATGAACTAAGCGTTGCCTGATCTTGTGTCGTCCCACACTGCTTCCTAAGTCTGAGCCACTGTGTCGATCCGTCTTGTTAAGTGTTGTCGTCAACCAGGTGAAGTCTTCAGGGCCCAGACTGAATCCATAGACGTTTCTCCCTCCTCCTTCCCATCGCTTTTTCTTTTGGGGGTGTTTGCCTCACACGCGTTCGCTCTCCTCTTTGACCCTCCGCATAGTCCCGGCTGCAGCTGCGGGAGCTTCCCGCAGGTTAACAGGTGCAGGAAGGACAGGGCGGCCCTCTGCAGAGCAAGCCTCGGGTCCTTCATCCCCCTTCGGAAGGAACAGACGTGGCTCGATGACAGTCGCAGGACTCGCATCTTATCTCGTCATCTCTTTGCAGTGAGTACCTGGACGGTCACCAGGCGGAGCTGGACAAGCTGACAACTCAGTTAAAAGATATGAAGAGAAATTCCCGTCTGGTAGGTACCGTCTCCTCGTGAACGTGTTAATACAGACGACACTCTTTTCACGTAGGCTTCTTCTCCCTGATGGGGATGGTGGGGCACGTTAAGAACAGCAGGTCCCAGGGGTAATGCTCTAGCTGCATCCTGGTGTGTATCATAGAAGGGGCAAGGAGGCAAAAGTTACCTCTTGATCTCTGAAATCTCCAGATCAACTTTGCAACCAATGTTCACGTGCGTACGAGGCCATTGAAAATGCCCAGAGTTGGGCCAGGCACACCTCGGTTCTCCAAGTAACTTCCTTGCTCTTCAACACCTGAAAGAGGTCTTGTACAGCAGAGTGACCCATCCATCAGTGAGACAGGCAGGGAAAGGGCCTTGGGGGTCACCAATATGTGCAGGTAGATCAGTTATACGTTGCATTGTTCAAGATGTCTGAAGAGCCCCTCGAGTTGGATGGATGTCTGAATAGTCCCTGATTCAAGAAGTCCCTCTTGTATGTACTAGTTTCCATGACTTTGTTCATTGGACATGACATTGTGCCTTAACATTTAAAAGCCTCAAACATCCCAAGAAAAAGCTGCCTAGGCCTTAGGAGTGGAGCTATCAAATTATTAAAAGACAATTTAAAAAACTAAACGAAAACCAAACTCAATGTCGTTGATTCGAAGCCGACTCCTAGCGAATCAACAGGACAGGCCCTGTGGCTTTCCCAGCCTGTAAGTGTGTCTGGGATCAGAAAGCCTTGTCTTTCTCCCACCGAGCTGCTGCTCGTTTTAAACTGCTGGCCTTGTACGGAGCAGCCCGCAGCACCAATCATGATGCTCCTCCTCCCAGTAACCCCAGTGTTCCCTGAAAGCTCTCCCAGTGGAGACTCGGGTTCTAGCGCTGCTTGAGAGCCTCCCTTGGTCTCCCCCAAGTTCACTGTGAGCAGTGGCGCTACCCAGCTCTACAGAAAGTGAACCTGGTGTAGAAACAGCTTGCCCAAAGCACATCACCACCCTCAAGAATTCTTGAAACATACCAATTATACATGTTTGAACAGGCAGGCAAGGTGGTTTGAACACATATGTCACGGCTCCAATTTATGGTATCACCACTTTTTAAATTGAAAAATGAGCATGACCTACCTGTGCTTCAGGGTGCAAGAGAAGAGAGTTCCAAGCATGGGAAGATTCCATGGCCCCTGGGGACAGAGAAGATGGGGAAGCCCTCTGAGAACGTGGGGTTACAAGTAAACATTGGCCTTTAAAAATCATTTTTTAACTGGTACTGAAGAGAGGAGCCATGGGGGCACAGGGAGTTACCTGTTATGAGTGCCAACCACAAGGTCAGCAGTTCATACCCACTAGCCGCTGTGAGGGAGAAAGATGAGGCTTTCTCCTGCCATCGATTCACAGCCTCAGTTTGGGTTTGCATGTCTGTCCCACTGTGCATGTTCTCCGTAGCCTCAACAAAAATGAAGATGAGCTGTATTTTTCTAAAGGGCAGTCGCCACTAGCAGAAACGAGTTTGAGGAAGGCGCCAGGCCTTCCTGAGCCCCGTGCAGGTGAGCGTGTGCCCACGTGCGGGCCTCAGGGCAAGTCTAACTGTGGGCAGGGCGAGAGCATAAATAACGATGCCAAAGAAGATTACTCTTCTGACTCTGAAGTTGGGCGATGCTTCCCAGTGATGGTGGGCCAGGAACATCTGCTTCAAGGTCACCAAGTTGCCCCCCACCAAAAGCAAGGTGGACGTCCGAGTACGAAAACATGGGTCTGACCGTGAGCTCACCTGTGACCCAGAAATGCCTTCAAAAGACTGCCTCAGAGCAAATGCAGGGCTTCCCTCCACCTCCAAAACGCAGAGTTCATCCAAAGGAGCAATGGCCTCAGAGCAGCGTTTCTCAACCTGTGGGTCGCGACCCCCTTGGGGGGGTCGAATGACCCTTTCACAGGGGTCACCCGATTCATAACTGTAGCAAAATGACAGTGATGAAGTAGCCACGAAAATAATGTTACGGTTGGGGGGTCACCCCCCCATGAGGAACTGTATGAAAGGGTGGCGGCACTAGGAAGGGTGAGAACCGTGGCATCCAAACGCGTCCCAGGGATTCTCGGGCAGCACGCCACGTGAAGACTAGCCCGGTGTTGCCTGGCAGCTCCTGTCTGTTCACCAGCCATATGCTGAGAGGCAAACACATCGGCCTAATGAACGCTGGGCACCCCTTTTTTTTTTTAATCGCCCCCTGAGGAAAGTATTGTTTGTGTTTGGTGTGTCCATCTACATGCTTCTCGCGGTGTTTATTGGGACATGGAAAAACCATGACAGTTCCTTTACAATGTGCCTGCCTTTTGCAATATAGATTTTTTAAATGAGCCAGCATTTTTCACTTCTTGAAAGATGATGTCCAAAAATCCAGCCAAAGTCCGCCTGGCCACGCTGATCGTTGGTTGCTGCCCAGATACTGCGGAAACTCAGGCGACTTCTCGCTAGCTAGAGACAGCAGGAGCCATGTGGGGAAGACGTGTTTTAACCCGATCTCCCTTTTTCCCTTAGGGTGTGCTGTATGACCTGGACAAGGTACGTTTTCCTTCTGTCTTGGGGCACTGCTAAAATGCAAACCCTGCTTCCAGAGAAGGGCAGTACGACCTTAGAGAATGGATGGGTTTGCTTTCTGAAAAGAACCCCGGCTTTGGTGTAACCCACATGGGGACTACGTGCTACCCTCTGTGATTCCAACATACCGTAGCATAAGGTCCCGGGGGCCGGGGTGAGGTGGGGGGTCAACAAACCCTGGTTGAGGGGTTCTCATTGTGTTGATGCTTGGAGCTTCCTCTCTTCTCTGAGAATTAGAGATGACAGCAATCTTTTATCAGACCTGTGACTCCTTTGATTGGAAAGTGCATTTTTATTCTACGTGAAACTACGGGGATGGCGATTCCAGCCAATTCAGACACAGTTCTTTCTTTTTCACATAAACTGCGTATTTTATACTTCCTGACGTAACATTTTTGGGCCTCTGTAGACGTGCATTCTTTTAAAGTATTATTATATATGACGCTGCCTGGCCTCCACGCCTGTTTGTCTCCGAAATAGCTTTCGATTTTATTGCTGAATCATTGGCTAATCTTTTTGATGACATCTTAATGGGCAATTGGATTGAATGCAGGTAATAGCAACAATACCTGCCACTCACATGAACAGACACCCAAACCGCCATGATGGTCTTTGAACATGCACAGACAGGCGAGCTGCCGCCTCCTTGCCAGCAGCACTGTTTAAATGCACGTCAGCTTCAGAGACGCTGAAGAAAGGGGGGTGGGGAGTTTCACACTGAATAAGCTGTTATCAAGCATTTTAAGCATCCGCCATGGCAACACTGTCCTGCCAACAATTCCAGGAATCCTCCTTGATGAACCTCTTTGGTGTTCCAGACAAGGATTCCAGTAATACAGCCAAGGTCACCTCTCAGAATAGTGTCTTCCACTAAAAACAGAACCCAAACTTCCCAGATATTAGAGAACCTCTAAAAGAGCAGCAAAGGAGCCCTGGCGGGTTACACGTTGAACTTCTAACTGCGAAGTCAACAGTTCAAAACCACCGATCGCTTTTTGGGAAGAAGACGAGGCTTTCGACTTCTGTAAAGATTAAGTCTGGGAAAAACAGGGGCTGTTCTACTTTGTCCTAAAGAGTCACGAAGAGTTGAAATCAACTCAATGGCAGTGAGATTGAGGAGTTTTATTTGTTTGTGTTTAAAACCGAAAACAGCTAGAAAGAATGGATTGAGCATGATCTGGGATTTGGGGGTAGATAGCAGTATCCTCAGAAGCCCAGCATGATTAACCTGTAAATGGCTGAACTTTTTCAATCATCTTCTTTGCAATTCCAGCAAATTAAAACCATCGAAAGGTACATGAGACGTCTGGAGTTCCACATCAGTAAGGTAAGTGACCTTCCTGTTGTTTGGCTTGGCCGCTGTCTCTCTGTTCACAATTGCTGATCAATCTACCTCTGGCCTGAGCTGAGCGCCTACCCCATGGAGAATCCCTTACTTAATTGACTCCTAACTAGAGAAGCAATGAAGACTCCCACAGACCAATGACAGAGCAGCATTAAGAACGAAGAGCTTGCTAGTCTAGCGCAGTTTTGACTCTGGGTGTTTTTGCTATTGTGTGAGGGTTTTCTCTACCGTGTGCCTGGTGCCTGGCAGGGCGTATGATGCCTCAATGCAGGCTGGTTAGCGATGAGCCGGAATCCAAATGACCCAACACAAATGTCTCACGTCACACGGTACACTCTGGTCCTCTACAGTGCCACTTGGTACTCTACGTCAACTGCCACACTCCCCCCAATATCCTTCTGAAGTGCTCGATTCCTCTGCTCTCCCTCATATGACCTGGTTTTCAGGTGCCCCCCCCCCAAAATGACTCCCTTCAACAGGCACCAATTGGTCAGGGTCTCTGACAGCCAGCCCTGAGCCTTATACATACCAGGGTAAGTCGGAAGGTTTTGCTGCAAAAGGGAAACCTTTTATTGACCAAAATGATCCAAATGGGAAGCTGTGGGTTCTCAACATATCCTCCATCTGTGATCAAAACAGCAGTGTTCGCATCCTCGAAGGAATCTAATTGTGCTCCTTTTCAATGTTCTTTTAAGTTAGGGAACAGAAAGATACATAAAAGGTATAAGATAAGGGCCGCAGGGTGGATGGAGTGAGGTCTCCCCAGAAACTCTCGTAGAAAAAGCCTTGCTAGCCTCAATGAACAAAGAGGTGCATTGTCAGGGTGGGGAAAAACTTTTCCCCTGTCACAACTTTTCTAGACTTTTTTTCACTGATGCAGATTTCGATGTTCTCAAGACTTCTTCCTTCTGAGCCCCATGATCATCCTGCGTCCTTTGAGAAAACCTGTCAAGGTGACTTTGCAGTATCGACAAAGGCAGTCACCGTAACCTTCAGGGCGGACTGCTCCACCTTCACGTTAGCCCAGCGCATCCCCTTGGAAGCCCCTGACCTGGGTGGACCTTTGAATTGAAGGCGCCCTTACTGAGAGGAAGACAAATCTGTCACTGAGCAAACTTATCGGCAGCCACCCACTGATTACAGAGACCTATTCAAACATGCTTTATTTGGAATAAACCCATGCCCCTAGGAGCTAGAAGCCTAGTAGTGATACTTTTATAGCCCAGCTTGTCTTCTGTGGAGTGCAACTGTGGCCCCCTTATTCTGGATACTCTCAAGAGCTACCGGTGTAACCTGGACTTCAAAGTCATTGCCATCAATACGAGGCTGTATGTCTCTTTACCAGAGTAGAAAGCCCCACTCCCTTGGAGTAACTGGTGATTTCAGACTGATGACCTGGTGGTGGCTAGAAGCTCAGTTTGTAAGCACTACACCTGCAAGGCTCCTGTTCAGCCTCAGCTTCTCTTGCAAGTGAGAGGAGGGGTGCTAGGAGTCAGAAACCTTAGGGTCTAGTGCCAGCTCGGCCACATCTCACTTGGCCATATAATCTGTTTGGGTCTTGGTCTTCCACTCTGTGGGACACATTCTCAATCCAGCTGAGCCTGCGAGTCCTTTCTGCCTTAATTTTGCGATGATTGTGGTGTCATTGTTGTTTGCTGGCATCAAGTGGATCCTGACTCCCAGTGAACCCATGTGTGCAGAGCAGGGAAGGTTTCAGAAAAACAGATGTCCAGGCTCGTCTTTCAAGGAGCCTCTAAACTCAAAGTCATGGCCATAGGGTCAATTCCAACTCATAGAGACCTGATAGGACAGGGTAGAGCTGCCCCTGTGAGACCCACTCTGCTACAATACCAGAGCACCTTCCAGGCTCCAAACGCACTACCATCGAGTCCATACTGACTCATAACAACCCATCTCATAGCAACCCATCGTGGGTTGCTAAGACTGTAACTGTTTATGGGAGTAGAAAGCCCAGTCTTTCTCCCATGGAGCTGCTGGTGGCTTCAAACTGCCCACCATGTGGATCTCAGCCCAATGTGTAACCACGACAGCACCAGGGCTTCTACTCTGGGAGCCGTCCTTAGTCGTGTTTAAACTGCCAGTATTTCAGTTAGTAGTTGAGTTTGTAACCACCTGCACTGCCTAGCCCCACCTACAGGAGGACATGCATATGCAAAGGTTACCGTCTTTGTACTTTCCCTCTCTGAAAGATACTTATTACCTAGGCCTATCTAAGATTCCCCTATTTCTGCTAAATTCAAAACATAAAAAGATGAAGCCTATTTGAAGGTACTTGCCTGTTGAGGCAGGCAAGCCTCCACAAATTATTCTGTTAAGTGTGGAAAACAGAAAGAAATGATTAGCTGTAGATTGGGTATACTCTGTCGTCTTTTGTATGCATGTTGGATAAAACCATTGTGGTGGCTTTGAAAGGTCAGTGGTACCACTTATAGCAGCTCACATGGATTCCAAGTAAAATTGCTTTTAAACCATTCTATCGGTTAGTCAGTTTTTTGATGAGAGGCCCCCACTGGCTTGCAGTTAAGACACCTACTTGTCTGCTAATGGGCTGGTTTCAGGTCAGGTGATGCATATTGATACCTTTTGTCTCTATGGAAGTTGACCTCCACTTGTTTAAGACAGATTGATATTTGAATGAAAGCAAAAGATAGACTTTTCTTTAAGTGTAAAAGTAATAAACTAAGCCA